CATAATCACTGTTTAGTCATTGTTACTAGTCATTATAACTGTTTCGTCATTGTGACTAAAGTCACTATAACTGTTTAGTCATTGTTATTATTCATTATCACTGTTAAATCATTGTAACAAGTCATTATCACTGTTAAATCATTGTAACTAATCATTATCTGTTATGTCATTGTTTCTAGTCATTATCACTGTTTGATCATTGTTACTAGTCATTATCACTGTTTGATCATTGTTACTATTTTTATCACTGTTTGATCATTGTACTAGTCATTATCATTGTTAAATCATTGTTACTAGTCATTATCACTGTTTGATAATTGTTACTAGTTATTATCACTGTTTGATCATTGTACTAGTCATTATCATTGTTAAATCATTGTTACTAGTTATTATCACTGTTTGATCATTGTTACTAGTTATTATCACTGTTTGATCATTGTTACTAGTCATTATCACTGTTTGATCATTGTTACTAGTCATTTTCACTGTTTGATCATTGTACTAGTCATTATCATTGTTAAATCATTGTTACTAGTCATTATCACTGTTTGATCATTGTTACTAGTCATTATCACTGTTTGATCATTGTTACTAGTCATTATCACTGTTTGATCATTGTTACTAGTCATTTTCACTGTTTGATCATTGTACTAGTCATTATCATTGTTAAATCATTGTTACTAGTCATTATCACTGTTTGACCATTGTTACTAGTCATTATCACTGTTCAGTCTTGGTTACTAGTCATTATCACTGTTTAGTCTTGGTTACTAGTCATTATCACTGTTTAGTCTTGGTTACTAGTCATTATCACTGTTTATTCATTATTACTAATCATTATCACTGTTTAGTCATTGTTACTAGTCATTATCACTGTTCAGTCTTGGTTACTAGTCATTATCACTGTTTAGTCTTGGTTTCTAGTCATTATCACTGTTTAGTCTTGGTAACTAGTCATTATCACTGTTAATTCATTATTACTAGTCATTATCACTGTTCAGTCTTGGTTACTAGTCATTATCACTGTTTAGTCTTGTTTTCTAGTCATTATCACTGTTTAGTCTTGGTAACTAGTCATTATCACTGTTAATTCATCATACTAATCATTATCATTGTTTAGTCATTGCTACTAGTCATTATCACTGTTTAGTCTTTGTTACTAGTCATTATCACTGTTAAATCATTGTTACTAGTCATTATCATTGTTTAGACGTTGTTTCTAGACTATGTTTAGTCATTGATACTAGTTATTATCATTATTTAGACGTTGATACTAGACTATGTTTAGTCATTATCATTGTTTAGACGTTGTTACTAGACTATGTTAAGTCTTGGTTACTAGTCATTATCTCTGTTTGATCATTGTTACTAGTCATTATCACTGTTTAGTCTTGATTACTAATCATTATCACTGTTTAGTCTTGGTAACTAGTCATTATCAATGTTTAGTCTTGGTTACTAGTCATTATCGCTGTTTAGTCTTTGTTACTAGTCATTATCACTGTTAAATCGTTGTTACTAGTCATTATCATTGTTTAGACGTTGTTTCTAGACTATTTTTAGTCATTGATACTAGTCATTATCATTATTTAGACGTTGATACTAGACTATGTTTAGTCATTATCATTGTTTAGACGTTGTTACTAGACTATGTTTAGTCTTGTTTTCTAGTCATTATCACTGTTTAGTCTTGGTAACTAGTCATTATCACTGTTAATTCATTATTACTAGTCATTATCACTGTTCAGTCTTGGTTACTAGTCATTATCACTGTTCAGTCTTGGTTACTAGTCATTATCACTGTTTATTCATTATTACTAATCATTATCACTGTTTAGTCTTGGTAACTAGTCATTATCAATGTTTAGTCTTGGTTACTAGTCATTATCATTGTTTAGTCTTGGTTACTAGTCATTATCACTGTTTAGTCTTGGTTACTAGTCATTATCACTGTTTAGTCTTTGTTACTAGTCATTATCACTGTTAAATCGTTGTTACTAGTCATTATCATTGTTTAGACGTTGTTTCTAGACTATTTTTAGTCATTGATACTAGTCATTATCAATGTTTAGACGTTGTTACTAGACTATGTTAAGTCTTGGTTACTAGTCATTATCTCTGTTTGATCATTGTTACTAGTCATTATCACTGTTTACTCATTATCACTGTTTAGTCATTGTTACAAGTAATTATCATTGTTTAGACGTTGTTTCTAGACTATGGTTAGTCATTGATACTAGTCATTATAATTGTTTAGACGTTGTTACTAGACTGTTTAGTCATTATCACTAGTCATTATCACTGTTTGATCATTGTACTAGTCATTATCATTGTTAAATCATTGTTACTAGTTATTATCACTGTTTGATCATTGTACTAGTCATTATCATTGTTAAATCATTGTTACTAGTCATTATCACTGTTTAGTCATTGTTACTAGTCATTATACTGTTTGATCATTGTACTAGTCATTATCATTGTTAAATCATTGTTACTAGTTATTATCACTGTTTGATCATTGTACTAGTCATTATCATTGTTAAATCATTGTTACTAGTTATTATCACTGTTTGATCATTGTACTAGTCATTATCATTGTTAAATCATTGTTACTAGTCATTATCATTGTTTCGACGTTGTTACTAGACTATGTTAAGTCTTGGTTACTAGTCATTATCTCTGTTTGATCATTGTTACTAGTCATTATCACTGTTTAGTCTTGTTTTCTAGTCATTATCACTGTTTAGTCTTGGTTACTAGTCATTATCATTGCTTAGACGTTGTTACTAGACTATGTTTAGTCATTGATACTAGTCATATCATTATTTAGACGTTGATACTAGACTATGTTTAGTCATTATCATTGTTTAGACGTTGTAACTAGACTATGTTTAGTCTTTGTTACTAGTCATTATCACTGTTAAATCGTTGTTACTAGTCATTATCATTGTTTAGACGTTGATACTAGACTATGTTTAGTCATTATCATTGTTTAGACGTTGTAACTAGACTATGTTTAGTCTTTGTTACTAGTCATTATCACTGTTAAATCGTTGTTACTAGTCATTATCATTGTTTAGACGTTGATACTAGACTATGTTTAGTCATTATCATTGTTTAGACGTTGTAACTAGACTATGTTTAGTCTTTGTTACTAGTCATTATCACTGTTAAATCGTTGTTACTAGTCATTATCATTGTTTAGACGTTGATACTAGACTATGTTTAGTCATTATCATTGTTTAGACGTTGTAACTAGACTATGTTTAGTCTTGGTTACTAGTCAATATCATTGTTAAGATGTTTCTAGACTATGTTTAGTCTTGGTTACTAATCATTATCATTGTTTATACGTTGTTACTAGCCTATGTTTAGTCTTGGTTACTAGTCAATATCATTGTTTTAGTCATTGTTACAAGTAATTATCATTGTTTAGACGTTGTTTCTAGACTATGTTTAGTCATTGATACTAGTCATTATCAATGTTTAGACGTTGTTACTAGACTATGTTTAGTCATTGATACTAGTCATTATCATTGTTTAAACGTTGTTACTAGACTATGTTTTGTCTTTGTTACTAGTCATTATCATTGTTTAGACGTTGTAACTAGACTATGTTTAGTCTTGGTTACTAATCATTATCATTGTTTATACGTTGTTACTAGACTGTTTAGTCTTGGTTACTAGTCAATATCATTGTTAAGACGTTTCTAGACTATGTTTAGTCTTGGTTACTAGTCATTATCATTGTTAAGACGTTTCTAGACTATGTTTAGTCTTGGTTACTAGTCATTATCATTGTTTAGACGTTGTTACTAGACTATGTTTAGTCTTGGTTACTAGTCATTATCATTGTTTAGACGTTGTTACTAGACTATGTTTAGTCTTGGTTACTAGTCATTATCATTGTTTAGACGTTGTTACTAGACTATGTTTAGTCTTGGTTACTAGTCATTATCATTGTTTAGACGTTGTTACTAGACTATGTTTAGTCTTGGTTACTAGTCATTATCATTGTTTAGACGTTGTTACTAGACTATGTTTAGTCTTGGTTACTAGTCATTATCATTGTTTAGACGTTGTTACTAGACTATGTTTAGTCTTGGTTACTAGTCATTATCATTGTTTAGACGTTGTTACTAGACTATGTTTAGTCTTGGTTACTAGTCATTGTCATTGTTTAGACGTTGTTACTAGACTATGTTTAGTCTTGGTTACTAGTCAATATCATTGTTTAGACGTTGTTACTAGACTATGTTTAGTCTTGGTTACTAGTCAATGTTACATCTTTATTATTGTTAAGTCATCACTACTAGTCACTGTTTAGTCAGTGTGACTAGTCACTATAACTGTTTAGATATTCAAAAAATCACTATAACTGTACCAAGGGGAACATGCATATGAAATTTGAGAAAGATCCCTTGATTACTTTCTGAGAAATAACGAAAACAAGGATTTTTTAAAGGACCACAGACAAAGGGCGATTTGATTAGCCCACCATCAGATAATGATGGTGGGCTAATAGATGTTAAGTCATTGTAACTTATAACTATAACTGTTTAGTCATTGTTACTAGACACTATAAATATTTAGTCATCGTTAATAGTCACTATAAATGTTTAAGTCATTGTTACCAATCAGTATAAATATGAAGTCGCTACAATTGTTTAGTTTTTGTTACTTGTCATTATTTAATCACAATAAATGTTTGCCCGGTCAGGATGACAGTTATTGACTATTTAATCCTATCAATTTGGACACTACATTAATCTAAGTCACTATCAAAATCTAGTCATTGTAACTATCTACTTACATTTTCTGTAACTAGCTACTCATCCACATGGAAGATATCACCAACATTTAATGAAAGATCAGGACTTAAATAATGAAAAAAATCAAAACCATTTTATACCACCCTGTTAGGATATTTTGGATATAATGATTAGATAAAACAAACTTAATTCATCAGTACAATTGAGCCAAGTCAACTCAAGAAAGCCATTGATAACAAATATTTTATTCAATATTGCACAAAAATATATATATACAATTTTGGAACATTTTAATATCACAAGAAAATAAACACAATGCTAGTCATTTTGTATTTACTGTCTGTTTGAGGTTCCATTATTGGAATGTTGACATATATATATATATACATCCATTAGTGAAATAACACTAGTTATATTTATAATAAAAAAAAGTTTCAAGTTTTGACAGATCCAAAAGGTAGATCTTTCTAAATTATGTCTTTCTGTTACTGGTTTCAAAATAATCTTCAAGTTAATTTAATGGTTTAATGACTTTGGGAATTCAAACCGAGATGCATTGTGGTGTATTTACTGCTGATAAAAATCACAATTTTTAAAATTGAATCATAAAAACACCAGCTGAACAGTGGATCTAAAAAGAAAAAAATCCTGTTTATTTCTACAAATCAACTTTGTTATCAGACTGTTGGCAATGCCCCTTGAGGAAATGAAAAATCAGTATATACAAAAGCAATTCTCATACTCAAACTCGTACACGTGTTCAAACCATCTTCCTGGTAAATCACTTACTCAAACTCGTACACGTGTTCAAACCATCTTCCTGGTAAATCACTTACTCATTGCAAGGGAATGAAAAAATAAATTTAATTAAAAGTAGCAATGATTCGTAGCTACAATTTTACGCCAAATACAATTTACCTCCAAAATTTTCAAATAGTATAATAAATTTAAAGGGTTCTTTTTCATTTTCAATATGGAAATGGATTGAACTTAACCACACAAGATAAGTTCGAGCACAAGAACTTTTTGTCTCAATATAGTCTGATCTAGGAGAGAATGGCACGCTAACATTTCTGCTAGAGAAAATTAAACCTAATCTTGAGCTCAAATTAGTTTAGCACCAAACTAGTTAACAACCTTTCCCCAAAAAGGGTACCATGTTTATTCTGCAATAAGCTCACCCTTTTTGGGCCACCACATAAACTATGACTCTGGAAGGACAATGATGCAATAGATATGGATGAGCTTGCCAGGAAAGGGTAATTGTCAGATAAATTCGGTATCAATATGGCCTCCGAACGTTCTCTTTTCAGACCCTTTTCTGTGAATATGTGAAAGTAAAATGATAATTTTAATGTTCTTTGTAATGACTTAATTTATTTGGTAATATGCACCTTATGCATCTGAGAAATCATCAGAATTCACATTCTTGTAATGAATTGGTCAGCATTATCTACGAGTACTATATCACATCCTTTTAACACCTAGTACCTGATAATATCACATCACTCATTCACCTAGTACCTGATAATATCACATCCTTCATTTACCTAGTTCCTGATAATATCACATCCTTCATTCACCTAGTACCTGATAATATCACATCCTTCATTCACCTAGTGCCTGATAATATCACATCCTTCATTCACCAAGTACCTGATAATATCACATCCTTCATTCACCTAGTACCTGATAATATCACATCCTTTATAATCAGATCCTTCATTCACCTAGTACCTGATAATATCACATCCATCATCCACCTAGTACCTGATAATATCACATCCTTTATTATCAGATCCTTCATTCACCTAGTACTTGATAATATCACATCCTTCATTCACCTAGTACCTAATAATATGTACCTGATAATATCACATCCATCATCCACCTAGTACCTGATAATATCACATCCTTTATTATCAGATCCTTCATTCACCTAGTACCTGATAATATCACACCCTTCATTCACCTAGTACCTGATAATATCACATCCTTTATTATCAGATCCTTCATTCACCTAGTACCTGATAATATCACACCCTTCATTCACCTAGTACCTGATAATATCACATCCATAATCCACCTAGTACCTGATAATATCACATCCTTTATTATCAGATCCTTCATTCACCTAGTACCTGATAATATCACATCCATCATCCACCTAGTACCTGATAATATCACATCCTTTACTCATTTGACATCTTAACACAAGCATATCCATACAATATATTTTAACTGAGATTCAATTTATAACATACATTTCCGAAAAGAATGTTTTATTTCTTTTCAAAAGCTATCTATGAACATTTATTTTAAGCATTTCCACAAGTGCATGGTTTATCAATCATCACATACAATTCTAGAACAGAATAAAATAAGCCCATATTTCTATTTAAACAAATATAAGTTATTTATAAATTAATACATCAAATTTAATAACATGAATAAAAAAATCAAATGTTTATCATCTGAATTTTGATTTTCAAACTTTAAGTAGCATATGATGCATCTTGGTCAATACAAAATTACATGTTATTTAATGGTCGGCTTATTGCACATTTAATTTTGAATTAAACAAATATTCCACCTTTGGCACATTATAAAATATAATTTGATATACAAAATAATACAGTAATGAACAAAAATTTGTTTCAACAGTTACATAAGCGAGATCTACACTTTTGTTATAAATTGAAAAATGATGAGCACCGGATAAATCTTTTGAATTCTAAACAAGTCAGCTGTCCGTCATATTCTTCATACATATATAAATTTGTCCTAAATTAATGTCTTGAATAAATATGGCCATTTACTTTGACAGGTATATGTATTTTGATACATTTATTGCAAGCACTAAAACATCATGGCATTCAATACCTGTAACTGTTGTCATAGGCATAACTTTAATTTCACTGAAGTCATCTTGCCTTCTCACCCTGTTCTCTGTCACAAAAGGTTTAATCCTCCCTAACATAAATTTGTCTCTGGGATCATTCACCCCGACCATGTAAAGTCACTTTGCTTTTGCTTCAACAAAGGAAGTTGAATTCTCAAACTAAAATTGCACCTCTGGATTATTTGGAATCAACATAGGACGGCAAAATTCCCTTATTGTCACTTCTTTCTGTATGAAATTGACACAGGAAGGCAACTACCTCAGCACACTTTCTAGACTCTTACATGTACTTGCTCAGAACATTTTTTTCACTAAATCTCATAACTTACATTAAATCATCTATGAAACCTTGGCTCAAAATAGTTACAATCAGAAACTAAGAATAACTTTCATTCCATTGTCAACCGGAATGTAGAACAATTTCACAAAAATATTCGAGTATGAATTTGAAAGATCATGGAAAAACTTTGACCACCAATGCATATTGAACATCTTAGTTATTAAGTCGGTATAGTTTCTTTTTGTCGAGCCCATATCCAGAACACAGAAACTTCAGGTCTAAATTTTTCTTTTTGTCGAGGTACCCACTGATGGCAATGAAGAATTTTTTTAGCTTGCACCATCCTCTTGTGTCCTCTTTCAGAGTCAGGTACAGTTCAAATGTTGACACAGTTGTTGGATCACAGTAAAGTTTTACAAGATTTTGGCACTTATTTTTGTCCTCTAGGTTTATAAACAGGACACACCCTCTTAGTCCACATGGCTCCTTGCGAGCTGAAGCCATAATATCCCTCGCTATACACATCACTAAACCACAGGGAATCAGCAACTCACAACCAAATTTGTCATCTCCAACAGAAGAAAGTGCTTGCTTTATCAGGATGACCAAGTCTTTCCATTGGTTTTTCTCCATCATGTTCTCAAAATTACTTTGGAGTGGGCAGTGAGAAAGATCAGCTTCATCTGTCAAATAAAATATTGAAGATTGTTTATTTAATATGGTCATCACAGTAATGCAAGAAACACATTCGAAATTGACTATATACCTTCTAAATTTTTCTCAACATATAAAAAATATCTGCAACAAGGCATCAAGACAGATATGTACTGAAACGCATCGGGCAACATCTCACTTTTAAAGGATGGAAGGCAATTTATAACTCTTTTATACTTCCAAATTTTAACATCTGTCCCTTAGTGTGGCATTTCTGTAATAAAGGTAGTACTGACAAAATTGAAAAAGTAAACTATAGGGCACTGAAATTTAATAACCTGGATTTTGACTCGAGTTATGAGATCCTTTTAAGAAAATCTCTGACAAACATGCTACATGTGTAAAGATAAAGGAAAATAGCAATTGAAACTTTTAAGATTGCCTACAGAATATGTCCACCTTACCTAAAAAGAATTAGTACAAACTAATAACAATGAACTTTATTCTTTCAGATATTTGGTAACATGTTAAAGGAACCTACGGTAAGAACTGAATGGTTTGGCCGGAACAGCTTCTCATACCTCGCGGCGAAACTATGTCTTCCGGCTGAGGCAAGAAATGCTGTGGATGTTGCCAGTTTCAAGACATGTATGGGAAGCTGGAACGGCCAAACCTGTACATGTGCTATGTGTAAATCTGTTTCGTCTTAACTGTATAAATATTTTAAAATGCTTTGCATGCCCGTTTTAAGTTGCCTTTTTTTTTAGATATGTTTAGATATGTTAAAATGTGTTTGCATGAAGTACATCTGTGATTATATTATGAAGCTAGCTGCTGCTCCTTCTTTTGTGCTTTATTATGTTAGCTTGTGTACTGAATTTTGCTTTATAAGTATCTTAAAATTCTAAGTTTTCAAATTTTTTATGATATATTATCAGCCTGTGATATGTTTCCAAATTTATCTGTGATTATGTTGAATATATGACCTTTTATAAGAATAATAAGAATATAACAAATCCTCAGTTACTGGGGTGCAGGTCGAGCATACCATGCTGGTAGGGGGCTCCCCAACCCTTGGAGCTGACCATGTACCACTGTACTATCTTTTCTCAAGTTCTTCTTTTTATATATCCTTCCTTCATCTCATAATATAAGCAAATGTGATCAAATAATAAATGAATTCAAAATGTGATAAATGTAACTTGCCACTTTTACCGCATTAAGTATTATTCTTATTTATTTAAACATGTTTTATTGGATGCTTACTCTCTATTTGTATCTTTTACAGCACGAACATATCTCGTTTAATTAATGAAACCTTATTTTATGTATGTTTTATATGTTATGTCGATTGTAAAAGCTCATTAAAGAAGGTTGTGTTTATCTTTGTAATCATATCGACGTTATATAAAATTTACTTGACTTGACTAAAATAAGGATTAGCTTAGGGGTAGAGCCAAAGCGGGGGTAATGATGGGTGGGTCCTCTTTTTCAAGACTGAACTTTCAACTCTTGTCTATCAATTAACTGGCTCAGCTCTGGCACTTAAATTCATGTATTGCTTTCCAAATTCTTGATCTACCTCTAGTCATGCAAACAATAACCAGCAATCATAATGTTTGGGGTTTTGTCCTCCTTAGACAGTCATATTCGCTCAGCAAACTAATAGTTCATCTTAAGAATTCATAAAAAAAATCTCTTCTAAAAAGAACCAGACTATTTTCATGGAAAATATAGCTTATAGATAGAATTAATTGTGCCCCCTGTCCATTGTGTAGGCCTATATTTCAGGATAATTCGATTAACCTTTTCAAATCAATTCAACTGAGTTTTATTGGCATATTCATGTTTATTTTTTTGATCAATTTTTTTTACTCGAGTATCGGCCGACTCGCGTACCTATCAGCTTAGTCTTCTGAAAATCGAAATAAAATTTACTAGAATCCCTATTTACTCACCCATCATATCATCATGTTGTTCCTGTGCAGGTTTTACTGGTGTTGGTTCTGCTGCAGATAAGTTGCGCTGTCCTTTTATTATTGTCATTCCTTTCACTGTAGTCGACTTCAACTTGTGCAGCATACGTTGAACTTTCGTCTGCCTACTCGAATCGACTGCTTCAAACACTGCGTCTGATTTCGTCGTAACCGCACAGAGGTTGTTAGAATTTCTTTCTGTTTCAACCATTTCGTTTCAATAAGATGTTGATTTTGAAAGAAATATGCAAACTGATCGAATTTACATTCATATATTTCTCAGAAACGGGACCGTTTCTGATGAATTTGCCTACTTTTCGATCAGACGTTCACCTGGCTTCTGCGCGCTGTCAGCGAAATCAGCTGACTATGAGCTTCGAGGTCGTGACCCTAAACGTCACGTTCCATATAAGGATAAGTGGGTAGAGTCTATTTTCAAGCGACGATCAGTCAGCCAATGGCATCAGCCAATGAATACCCGTATGTACCCGACTTTCCTTTGAAATCGGTTAGTCATGTGGTAACATGCGTTCTCACTACAGGTGTATATAATTATAGACATTCGGCAATAACTGTAGAATCTAGAATCTTTTCAAAAGAAAAGTCTTCTAACAACCTCTGTGCGGTTACGACGAAATCAGACGCAGTGTTTGAAGCAGTCGATTCGAGTAGGCAGACGAAAGTTCAACGTATGCTGCACAAGTTGAAGTATATTAGAATTCACTTTTAGGTTTACGTGTTATGTTAGCGTTAAGTTACGCTAACATAACACGTAAACCTAAAAGTGAATTCTAATATTTATGAAACCACGGAATTAGATTAGATTTGTTATCTAAGTCCGTGGTGAAACTTATACACGAGATATAAAAACAACACACTCTAAGAGTCTATCGGTCAAATACCTATATAACACTGTACTCGGAATACATCCGACCATTGTCCTCTGTCTTGACGGAGGCGTGTTATATGACTGGCCGAGGTCGTTGGCCATTAGGAAATTCTATGGTGTTTTTGTCAACATTTGCTTGTTACGTAGCCATAATAAATGTTTGTACAAATAACATGTCACCTTCATTTTCACATAAACGTCTCTGACTCGACTGTCTATTCTTTCCTCCTCGTGGGATTAAAAAACCCGTCAAAGGCCTTCTTCATGAAATTACTTCTACCGTTAAGCTTTTCTGGAAAACTACCGTATTTGCAGGCAAATAAAACAATAAAATTCTCTTGTACTTTACATCTTCCGTTTCCGTGAATACAAGATAGAAATACCCTATGTAAGAAAGAGGCGCTATGAATTCCTTTCTCTCATTCCTGTGCGTGTATGAGAGAACTTAATTATATTTCACGTACATGACGTCACAATGGATTGTAATGACATGACGTCACGAAATCGGGAATATTTCGATGCCAAGCAGAAATTCACCTGGCGAATCCTTTTTGAGGTTTTTGGGCTGATATGTGAGAAAAATAACCGTTGTATGCCCACCCCTATGCGTGAAAGAGTCTGATAATCGACATCACAATGTTAAAAAAACGTGACGTCATGCAATCCAGTGGCATAGCATACATATAAATTTTAAGAAGATTTTTTTTTCAATTATATTTATTTATTAATTTCTTTTTTATCATTAATATCGACCGTCCGTATCAATCATTAACAAAAATCTTAAATTTTTTAGTCCAACGGAACATATTATAGCGTGTTATCCTCAGATAATCGTTTACGCTCTTCTTTTTTACCATCAACATTACTTTCTTGGAACGGGTTAGACGTGGAAACAAGATCTTCTCGTATGCTATTTTCTTTTTAATCTGCTATTTCACATCCAGTTAATCAAAAAACACCATACTTCTAGAGTTTTGGAGAAAGAACATTTAATATATTGTATACAAAGTTGAGGTACAAATATAGTCCATTAAGTTATGACCCTTTAAGAGTAAATCTGACTGAGAACTGAATATATTTGTGGAAACCCTTGTGAGAATGCCTACCACTTCTTTTTCATATGTCCTCGTTATAATATACAAAGACGTACTCTTCTTTCAAATATAGATGATTTAAATCTGGATGTTGCGATTGATATAAATGTATTGCTCATAGGAAATGAAAATCTGTCGGTAGAAGTAAACACTTCAATTTTTAGAAATGTGCAAAAAGTACATAAAATCCAGCCAAAGGTTTAGTTAATGTGATATGACATTAACTCATCATATTCTGTTGAATTATTTCATTTATTGTATGAAAAAATGGTATTCATTGTGATCAAATTATGCTATTTCTCAATTTATGTAAAAATGTATTGTGGAGAGGGCCTTTGTAATGTTGATATAACTATGCCTAATCCGTTTGCTTCATTTATGCAATAAAATATGTTTAAATCAAATAATCGTTTAAGTGCCTTTTAATCTTATAATTAACAAGTAAAACTTTAACTTGTTAATAATCAGACTTAAAGGACTATCCAGTACACGGGAGATAGCTTCTAGGGCCTAGTAGATTCGCCACTGTAATCGTGAACAATCCGATGCCTGTGATGGTTTCGCGAATATTGGCGTACAGCACATGTAGTTCTATAGTTTAGCGATTTTTTTTTCCATTTCGTGCAAGAGTACTTATGGTCCAATGTTTTCTTTTAACCCCTGACGCTAAAATGAGATTTTTCATTTGATTTTTTTTGCATTTTCGTTTTTTTTCTCTCGACACCTTCTCTTGGCTATACCATTTCGTGTATTAACAAATATCTTTATTATGATTGAATAAATAATTGGCCACACAACTTTTAAACAAAACCTTTCCAAGACGCAGCCTTCACTTCTAATTGCTTTCGCGATCACCATTAGATGGTTCAATAATAAGACGCCATTTCATCGTGACATCATCATCATCGTCATCATCTTCATCATCTTAAAGTATGCTTATATTCTCAATATACGTCATTAGTGAATCGATCTAAATGATAATCTATCAGAGCGTCGAACAAAAGGTTACTAGGCAAGCATTAACATTCGAAAATTGTTCAGTCGAAAGATATAGCCTGGAATTATACGAAATATATCCTAAAATCATATATATACGAGATGGCCACAGATAACCATTGAACTTATATTCCAAATCAAACTTGAGCGGATAGGTGACCGTATTTAAACCATGCGAAATTTTACGAATTACAAAATGGCCGTTATCGGCCTAGAGTCAATTTTTAAGGTTCAGTGGATTATATTGATACTATTAGGTATGCATAGAAAAAAAATCATAAAAATCAATGCATTTCATTCAAGTTGGAAAACGTGTGCGGACGATAACACCGAAGGAGTGGTAGCCTTAATTGTCACCTGTTTCACAGGCTTCGCAAAAATGCTTTCAAATTTAAATTCTAGTTATTTTTGTTTATAGATAGGATAAATTACTTATCATGTTTAAAAAAAATGATTTGGTGATTTATAGACTGAAGTATGTTGGTTAAAATTGTCGGTAAACAGTTTAATTGGCTGCTACAGGATGGTGGAGCCCGTCGGACCGGTATCTTTTTAAGCGTCATTGTCGCGCGTAATATTTCCTTACGATACTCACCACAGGCACGGAATTAGATTATCTAAGTCCGTGCCACAGGGTATTGTTTATATATGTATGAGCAATAGTTAGATAGGTCGGGACGGATATTTGAACATGTTTTATTTATTTCAAGTCACCCTAATGTTTATCGAACCAATGTCAATAACACCATATGGCAAGTCTCCTGTGACAGTCCGTCTGTATAATCACGGAATTAGATTATCTAAGTCCGTGGTAAAATAACCTGCACACAACAATATAAATTTATCGATTGGTGGTATATTTAGCAACCAATCAAAATCATCATATCAACAATTTACCCTGCATTCAATTTTCGAACTAACGCTACTCCAATTTGGGAATGCAATTAAAAAAAGGTTTTGAAAAGCAGAACTGTTTCTAATCTATGCATAGCTTTTAAATAAAAAATAAAGAAAAATCTCAAATATAAACGTCCTAGACGTGTTTCGTCTACTCTGTTAGCCTATTCAAAATAATATGGTACACGTTACTCTCCTGTTTCAGAAAGTGTACACACTAATGAAGGTGGCAAACGACCTGCTGACCACTTTATAAGGTGTCAGAGAGGGTCATTTGCCATCCGATTTAGCTATTGAAGATCAATGAAGTTCAAGTTACTATAATAAAGAAGTCACGTGCGTGAATTTAATTAATTAATTGAGTACGTGTTTGCAAGACCCGGTGAAGGCCAGTGAAATCTGTGATGAACACGCCAGAAATGCTCCTACACGTAGCTGAACTCCCTTCATCCTGACGTAAAACAACAAGAGGCCCAGGGGCCTTAATAGCTCACCTGGTATTTTATTTTTCAATTTAAAACCTGCTGAGTACCATTCAGGTTTATCAAAGGAGTACAAGTAACAAAGATGCATCTTCCATTTATAAATATTCAATTCCCTTTGCCCAAAGATTCTCTAAAACAAGTTTGGTTAGGTTAAAATCCCTTCAACGGTACAGAAGGAGAAGGATCTTTAATGTTTTCCTCTATTTCCCCTAATGGGCCCCACTAATCTGCCCCAAAGAAGGGGAATCCACACACCTCAGTTTAAACAAAATTGATTCTTTTCTCCCTAAGCATGCTTCAGACTGCATTTGGTTTAAATCCCTTCACTTGTATAGTAGGAGAAAAAAA